ACTTTTTGAGTCTGTTAGTTTGTCAAGTCTGGAGTGTGAAGGTTGTCAACTTGGAAAGCATTGTAGACGTTCATTTAAACCTAGTAATAAAAGGTGTTCTTCTTCTTTTGATGTTATTCATTCGGATGTGTGGGGACCTTACCATGTTCCTTCTATGGGAGGCTATCAATATCTCTTTTTTGTGGATGATTTCTCATGATACTCTTGGATTTACCTGATGAGATCTTGCGATGAAGTACCATCCTTGGTGAGGCAATTTTATCAGATGGTGCTAACACAGTTTGGAACAAGAATAAAGGTGTTCAGATCAGACAATGCCAGGGAATATTTAAAAAAACACCTTGCCTCATATCTGTTAGAATATGGTGTTGTCCATCAGAGCAGTTGTCCCTACACTCCACAGCAAAATGGTGTTGCAGAAAGGAAGAACAAACACATCGTTGAGATTGCAAGAAGCATGATGAGCACATCTACAGTTCCAGTTCGGTTTTGGGGTGATGCAGTTCTCACAGCAGTATATCTGATTAACAGGGTGCCCTCTCGTATACTTGAATTCAACACCCCATTCAGACTCCTTTTTTCCTGAGGGGGAGATGTTTCATATTCCTCTCAGGGTGTTTGGGTGTGTCTGCTTTGCACATGTCCTTGGTCCTCACCGCTCGAAGCTTGATCCCAAGGCAAAGAAGTGTGTCTTCCTTGGATATGCAGAAAATCAGAAAGGGTATTGTTGCTTTGATCCAGTCACTGGGAGCCGGTATGTTACCATGGATGTCACTTTTTTTGAATCCATATACTTCTTTTCAAAGAATCCTTCTTAGGGGGAGTGTTTTGGGGAAGTGAGTCAACAGTCTATTCCTCTCCCAGTTCTAGTCCTTGTGTCTACTCCTGTGCTTGACCATCCTGTGTCACCTACCTTACCACCTCCTTTGCGTCCTGCTTCTCAGCATTACTTACGATAGAGACTTCACAAGGAGGTTGATTCCACTGCAACAGAACTCACATCACTTCCTGTCGATTCCTTGGAGACTCCAGATTCGGCTGACATGGATTCAGGTATTCCTCTTGGTCCCGCTACTGTTTCGGTTCCCATTGATTCTACTAACCCTGTTACAGATAACCTTGATCTTCCTATTGCTCTCAGAAAAGGGAAGAGAAAGTGTACTGCTCATTGTATTTCACAGTACTTATTCTACAGTGGACTTTCTCCTTCCTACCGTGTTTTTCTTTCTTCCCTTGACTCAGTGTCTATACCCAAGGGTGTTAGTGAGGCTCTCTCCAAACCTGAGTGGAAGACAACTATGCAAGAAGAGATAGCAGCTTTGATTAAGAATCAAACATGGGACATTGTGGATCTACCAGAAGGCAAGGAGACAGTTGGATGCATATGGGTTTACACAGTAAAATATAAGGCAGATGGAAGTATAGAAAGGTACAAGGCAGGACTTGTTGCAAAAGGGTACACACAAACCTATGGTATTGATTACTTAGAGACCTTTGCACCAGTTGCAAAGATGACCTCTGTTCGGATACTTCTTTCTCTTGCTGCCTCATACTCTTGGCCCTTGTTTCAACTTGATGTGAAGAATGCTTTCCTAAATGGGGATCTGCAAGAGGAAGTGTATATGAATCTTCCTGTTGGCTTTTATAGTGATAYTGAAAAGKRAAAGRTATGCAGGCTTAAGAAGTCACTTTATGGCTTGAAACAATCTCCCAGAGCATGGTTTGACAGATTCAGAAAGGCCTTGATTGCTTTTGGATACACTCAGACTCAATCCGATCATTCCTTGTTTGTGAAGTGAAGGGGATCTTTGGTGTCAGTCCTAATTGTTTATGTGGATGATATTGTTGTCATGGGGAATGACCTAAGTGAGATTGATTGTCTGAAAAGGAATCTACATAAAGAATTTGAAATTAAGGATCTTGGAAAACTGAGATACTTCCTAGGCATTGAAGTTGCAAGATCAAAACATGGAATTTTTATCTCTCAAAGGAAGTATGTCTTGGATCTTCTTCAAGAGACAGGGAAGCTTGGAATGAAGGACATTGGGAGATATCAAAGAATTAATGCATCAGAAGGTGAACCAATAAAGGACATTGGGAGATATCAAATACTTGTTGGTCGGTTGCTATACTTGTGTATGACAAGACCAGACATTTCCTATGCAGTAAGTGTGGTAAGTTAATACATGCATGTTCCACGAGTCCAGCATTGGGAGGCAGTTGACAGGATTCTTGCTTATCTGAAGGGACACCCGGGCAGAGGCATATTGTTTACTAATCATGGACAGTTGAAACTAGAGGCTTATACAGATGCAGATTGGGCAGGATGCCTTGATGACAGGAGATCAACTTCAGGAGGGTGCGCCCTTGTTGGGGGTAACCTTGTTTCGTGGAAGAGTAAGAAACAAACAGTGGTGGCAAGACCAAGTGCTGAAGCTGAATACAGGGCCATGGCACATGGAGTTTCAGCGGGATCCGTTCCCTATTAGAAGAAATTGGTGTACAGGCAGAAGAAACTATGATGTTATACTGTGATAACCAGGCAACAATTAACATTGCCCATAACCCAGTCCAACATGACTGAACTAAGCACATTGAAGTGGATAGACATTTTATCAAAGAAAGAGTAACTTCTGGAGAAGTTTGTCTTCCATACATTGCTTCTGATTTGCAGCTCGCGGATGTTCTCACAAAAGGTGTTGCAAAGAACAAGCTGGAGCATGATCTACGCAAGTTGGGAATGTGTCACATTTACTCCCAACTTGAGGGGGAGTATTGAGTTGGGCCTATTTGTTTTTTTATTCTTATTTTAAGCTATTTAGTTAGGAAGTTGTTGGGCTTTAGGCCCATTAGTTTATGTTTTTAAGTTGTGACTGTTCAGCTACATTAGTAGCCACCCTACTAAGGGCATCCTTGTAATATCTCATCCTTTAAGTTAAGTATAAATATAATGAGGGGTTGGCGGCTAGGGTTAATTCAAGAATCCTGGTTGACTTCCTACTCTTTTCTCCCTCTCTTTTCTTCTCTACTACTGAAATCTTTATCTTCCTCCCCTTTTCCTTTCACAAGAAATTCAACTAAATCTACAATCAGTGATTTCTACTGTTTTCTACAGTGTTTGACACAATTCAAGCTGTCTTGAGCAACCTGAACCAAACAATAAAAGTTGAATAATCAACCCTAACTCTACATAGCATGAATACTGACTAAAGGTGTCCAACAAAGAAACAAAGATTTTCGGGTTGGTTCAAATCAAATTGAGCTGGTACCAAGTTTGCAAATTTGTAGGAATTATTTTGGTCTAAGAGAGACTAGTGAGATTTGAACTGATGTCTTATATTCATTACTTTCACCAGGCTAAACCCTTTTTATATTTTAAGAATGATTTCAATACATATATATGCATGAAAAACACATAAAACCAAAAGCTCTTTTAAGGCAAATTCCCCAACTCCGTGGTTAATAACAAGCTTGACTCCTTTAACTTGGGTTATTGACAATCCAAATTACCAGCCTTAGAACTAAATCCTTAAATAATAGATCATGACCAAGAAACCAGTCCAACAACCACCTGCATCTTACAACAATACTTCTTCCCCTTGGAAGTGATAATGTGGCTTGCATTTGCATTAGCTCTGTTTCTTGGGCAGGGGAAAATTATCTGTTTTTTTTCTTCTTAAATATCTTTTTTCTTTTTTGTTAGGGGGTGGTGCTTTTTTACTATTTCTTTCCTTTACTTTGTTAAGTAATCTCCAATACAAACAGTTGTACATAATATAATTTTCTTCCATTGAGATTCTTTCTCAGCTATTGAGTTTTCTTTGCAAGTTATATGGCATTTGGGGAAATGCATTTACAAAGAACTTCTCGTATTTTTAATTATACTCCGAGGGGCCATTACTTAGTGCAATGGTAAAACTTCTGACAAGCATGAGAATGCATATTTGAGTTTAAGAGCAGCCACTTTGTGAAAAATATGCCAAAGGTTAGGTCTGTATCCACTCCACCCCTCTCAAGACCATGGATAGCCAGAACCAACTGATGTAACTCACCAACCTTGGGTAATGACCCATTTCTGATTATACTTGTACAGTTATTTCATACGATATTATTGTTGCCTATAGCATTTGGGGCCCCATCTGAGGAGGCATTTAGAATCTGTTACTATATGAAGAAGTCCTTGGATGCCTACTTTAGCAAGCCATCTCCAACAACTGAACTACAATACCACCTGATTGCCTTTGAATAATCACCTTCTATGGAGAGTGAGTGGAAGCAGCACTGCTTGGCAATCCTTACACCCATAAGTAAAATGGCAACCTCAGCCTTAGAAGAGCTGGAGTCTCCAATTGTTCCACTAAACACCTACATGATGTTGCTTCCTGTGCTAGTGAAAACACCACCAGTACAGTTTGCACCCTGAGCTCCCATTAAACTGGTGTCTCACCTCATCGTGGACAGCATGAGATCAAGGGAGACTAGAAGAGACCTTAAAATGAGACCTCCATGAGATCATCTAAGGATAATGCTAGCAAGGCTCTCCTAAGGTCATCTTGGGAACTCCCCCACCTCAAGCTCTTTGCAGAAACCCATAACTTGGGTAAGTTCATGACCCTGCAAATCTTCAAAAAAAGCTCTTTTTGTTGTCAAAGGTACATCTATTCCTCCCTTCCCAAGCAGTCCTCCCTCTAGATCCCACACTATTTCCTATCCATTTCTTTAACTATCTGCAAAATTAGCAGGAGCAACCCATTCCAACCCGACCAAGCTAAGAAAGAAAGCCTAGAGCTTCCTTGGGTAGTGCAATGCAAAAGAAAAGAAGATAACTAGTTGGTTCTCTATCTAGGCACATAACACAAGTTGGGGGGGGGGGGATGAAAAATTGATTTCCAACTTGCACCAAAGCACTTGTTCCTACTGTTTTTCTGCTTGTCTAGTGTCTACTCCTGCATTTATCATTTTAAGTTGGGTTCAAGCTAGTCGAGTTGAAGATTATTAAGTAGATGGAGAGAAGAATATCATCTTCAGGAGATAATTTGAAATGATGGAATATATAAGATTTGTATTATTTCTGATGATAATAAATTGTAAACCCCAACAATCAATAAAACCGGAGGCTTTATTAGATTGAATGATCTAGTGTCTACTCCTGCATTTATCATTTTAAGTTGGGTTCAAGACAATCAAGTTGAAGATTAAGTAGATGAAGAGAAGAATACCATCTTCAGGAGATCATTTGAAATGATGGAATATACAAGGTTTGTCTTATTTCTGATGATAATAAATTGTAAACCCCAACAGTCAATAAAACCGGAGGCTTTATTAGATTGAAGGAGGTTGACTGGGGACAGAAGTCACTGTCTGCCTTTACTAGAGGAAGAGGAAATACCAATCACCAATAAGAAAAGAGGCAATATCAATTCTTACCTGGACATATTTTTGGAACAAACTGCAAAAGTGTTCTCTTTAAAGCTGAGGCATGTTTTGTTTGAATCTTCTTGTTGTGTTTTCCAAGTTTCCTCTGTTGCTTGAGAAAATCCATTTATAAAAAATAATGTTTTATATTTATTGATAATATTGGTAGTAGTTGTTCTTTAGAATTCTTGAAGCTTTATTATTCCTGCAGAAGCTTATATGTACACCTGATTCCTTTCCTTCGCCTGTGGTTACCAGGCAGAATGTGAAGAGCTGCAATCAAAGGTAGAGACATTGACTACAGAGAATCACACACTCAAGACTGAGTTGCAGAAGCTTTCTGAGGAATGCGCAAAGCTCACATCAGAAAATCAGTCACTAATGGTTCACTACAATACTTATATTTTCTTTTCATTTTCCCCCTGGATTTCTTAACATTGTGTCCTCCGTTTTATCATTTTGCTTACAGATTTACAGATGTTAACTACTAAAGAGTATGTATTGCCCAAATTATTAGGGGCTCAATAAGTAGTAGTATCCTAATCTAAAAAGGATACACAACAATTACAGAATAGACAGGGTGGATTGGTATGCTTCTAATGCTAATGAATGAGGAGCTAACCCATAACACTAAGAGCTTTATAAATTCTTCCCCTGTGACCCTGTCTTTGGGGATAGTTTTTTTTTTTTTTTTTTTTTTTCAGTTGTGTGTTTGGGGTAGGGGGTGGGGCCCAAACAATTGGTGTAACCCTTTCAGGGAGTGGATTTTTTTTTCCTGAAGCCTCAAAAAAGGAAAACATAACAACTGAACAGAAAAAGTAATACTAGCCTAAATAGTAAAAATGATAATAACAAAAACTAATAGTAGTTAATAGTAGTATGTTTCTAGTTCTGTCTAGATTGTATGAATTGATTTTCTTGTAATTAGTTTTAGTACAGTTTAAATTTGAATTAGCATGTTTAAACAGGTTCAAATTTAAAGGTAATCACTATTGGGTTGTTAATTTAATTTGGGCTTAGCGAGCTTTTAAGTAGAATCTTTGCAACTAGGAGGCATACACGTGTCTCCACTAACTTGATATGAAGACTTGGACATGTTGCCTTGACAAATTTTAAATTTATCCACACGTTTATATATTTTATTCCATATATTGAGTGGTTGGTGATATATGGGACTTCTTCCCGTATATTACAGCTGTGTCAAGCAATTGTCAGATGAGACATGTCAATGAATGCTGAAAACAATGCTGGATACATTCGGACATGTCTAGCTTTATTTACTTATATAGATAAAGACACATGTTATGCAGTTTATCTTGTGTGGCTCACTATAAATGTTCTTCAAGTAAATTTATCAAGAACCAAAGTGCAAAATTGCGTATATTTTATGCCTAGATACTTCTATATATGAATTTGTATATGTGCATATGCATATACCTAGATATTTCTATACATGAATTTGTGTATGTGCATATGCATATGTGTGTATTAATGTGGCCTTACATCCATTTTTTTTTTCACCCACCATTGAGAGGGAGGGGAGAGTGCATGTGAATTTTAGAGCTTTCAATGGGTTGGGTCTGGTTCAAGGTAGAGTGGACCAGTCCTGAACTGATTATTAATCAGTTTTGTAAAATAGACCTAGAACCAAACCAATTACTAATCAGATTCAGTTACTAATCATGAAACAAACAACAGAACCAGAACCAACATAATCAGTTCAGTCAGTTCAGTTCTATCAGGTAGAGCAGACCTTTTGACAGACTTTAGAGGGTTCTTGGTTGACTTGGTTGTCAGTTGTTGATAGTTTTTATCTAGTTTGAGAATATTTGTGCATACTATAGACTATACTTCAACTTCTCCCCACCCCCACCCATGCACACAAGATAGGGATTAGGAGAGATAGTGCTTGTAATTTTTTTAAACCCTTATAAGAGGGGGATTTTGTGTAGCTGATGCAATGTTGCACACCTGGAAGATGCTACGGATGAGGTCTAGATTGATGCAGTCGTGAAGGGAAATGTGGTTGTAAAAAAGATGGGTATCTATGATCCCTTTTCTCCTCCCCAGGTTCCCATAGGAAATCTCTCATGAATTTCTCGAAATTCATGAGAGAGTTCCTATGGGAACCTGGGGAGGAGAAAAGGGACCACAGAGTTAGGTGGGATTTGGTAAATAGAGCTAAAAGGGATGGTGGCCTTGGCTTGGGTAACTTGCAGAAGAAGAATGAAGCCTTGTTGGGGAAATGGTTATGGAGACTAGCAAAGGAAAAGGATAATCTGTGGGCTAAAATAGTCCTAAGTATTCATGGGCAAGAGGCAGACAGCTGGGACACGTGTGTTTCATCTAGGGCTACAAGAGCTTCTCCCTGGAAGTCTATTCATACTATTCTTCCATCCTTCCTTCCTTTTATCAGGTATGCCTTTGCTCTGGTAATTCTGTAAGATTTTGGGAATACATCTGGGTGGATAACTCACTTTTGAAAGAGCAGTTTCCTTCTTTGTTTCTCTCTCAAGGTTTAAAAATGAGCTTGTTGCTACTTTCCTAACCTATTCTACTTCTGGCCCTGTTTGGAACTTGGGCTTCCGGAGGCCTCTTAGAGACTCTAAATTGGATTCCATATCTAATTTGATTAAGATTTTGGAGGAGGTAGTTGTTGACCTCTCTAGATTGGACAGTAGGATTTGGGCTCCTACTCCTTCGGGTATTTTTTCATGCTCTTCTTTCTTCAAGGAATTAACCCATTCCCATTCGGCCCTTGATCCTCCTTTCCCAGCTCCAGAAGTTTGGGGTAGACCAATTCCTCCCAGAGTAGGTGCTTTATGCTGGGAAGCTATCCTAGGAAAGTGTAACACTTGTGACTTACTTCAAAAGAAAAGGCCAAGATGGTGTTTATCCCCGCACTGGTGTATCTTATGTAAGAGGAATGGTGAGATCTGTTATCACTTATTTGTTTCTTGTCCTTTTGTTTCTGAAATCTGGTGTTGGTTTTTCTCTCTTTTTGGTTGCAGGTGGCCCACTCCCCCAATTGTACTAAGCTTGTTTAACTTTGTTCCAGTGAGGGGTTTAAAAAAGAGAGGTAAGATCTTGTGGAGATGTGTAAGAGCAGTTGTATGTTGGTCAGTGTGGGAGGAAAGAAATCGACGAACTTTCCAGGAAAAAGAAAGGAACAAAGAAGCCATCATTGATTTAATTTACATTAGGGTGGTTCATTGGGTCAAGTCTATGGAGCTTTTTGAAGGTTTCTCAACAGGAGATATCATTAGAAATTGGAAAGAAGTTGCCTGGTCTGCTCGGTTGTTTAATGCTCCTGTTCCAACTTGATCTCCAACAATGGGGTTCACTAAATTGAATTTTGATGGCAGCAGCGAAGGGAACCCAGGCCCTTCAGGTATTGGAGGAGTGTTCAGGGATGAAGAAGGTCGAATTATGGCTATGTTTTCAAGGCCTATAGGTTGGGGGGATTCTCTGAGAGCTGAAATTTCAGCAGTATTAGGAGTTAAAAAAGCCAAACAGCTGAATATTAGGAAGCTGCTGGTGGAGGATGATTCTAAACTGGCTGTAGAAGGAAGAGGCTAGTTTATGGAAGTTCTTGAATGAAAAAAAGAAAATTTACCCACTCACTCAAGACATGCAAATTCAGTTTCAGTGGTCCAAGAGGAGCGCCAATTCTTTTTGCAGATTATCTAGCTAAACAAGGGGTGGGAAGAACTAGTTTCTTTTGGGCTGTATTGTAATGTGATGTTTTTAGGGTGGGGTAAGGGATTTTACCCCCCTTCTTGTTGTATCTTTTCCATATCCCTTTAATTAATACAAGTTTCTGTTGTTGATAAAAAAAAGATGGGTATTTAGCTGCTTGATATTTCTCTTCTTGTAGTGGTTTTCATTCTCAAGTGCTGAAGTTGACCTCCTTGGCTCAACTCAATTCAGCAAAGCTTTGTCCCTACTATATGTGCCAGCTACATGAATCCTGCTTCACAATTCCACTTGTAAGTAGGATGGTGGTCAGGCTAGGTGGAGATGGTTTCCTTGAAGGACAGAGGAAGACCGGGATCAGGGAACCAACCGAAAGGCTAGGAGGCAGGGAATGAAGAGACGGCTGGGTAGGAAATCTAATGATAGGGTTGATCAATGAATGAATCTCATTGTGAGGGGGACCCCTATTTATAGGGAAGGATCCCGAGATCTTGAAAGGAAGGAGCCAAAAGTGTTTGTTTTCTACTAGGAAAGGGAATATTGGATTTGATGTTGGTCATTAAGGAGCATTGCTAGGGTTTTGCCATGTGTTCTTATGGGATCTCTCGAGGGTTGACTTTCCTTTCACCCGAAGATCCTCATAACCCACGTGTACTACCACCTTTTGCACCTTAACCGACATGGTGCTAGTGATGTCACTGCTTGGCGGGCAGTCTCTTATTAAAGTCACTATGTACCTACACCACTCTATCAAGGGCCTTAGCCATTGTGTGCCCTAGCACGAGCTCAACATGGAAGTCTAGGCAAGAAGTTATATCCTGGCTGCTAGCTTGACACAACCCTTCGCCCTTATTTGGGCTTTGGACTGGCAGTGCAAGACAAACTCAATGCTGTTAAGAGTCAAGTTGACGCTCTTAACAGTTTAGAAGATGGTCAGGTGAAAACTTTTTCATGTTGGGAAGGAGAAGGATATTTTGTTGTATTCACCCTCTGACATGTTGAGAAAGCTTCATTTCAGCTGTTTTGATCCTTGGGCCTGAAGTGCTGCCAACTCAGAGGTTAAGGAGCTGGGTAAATCTGGTGTTGTGAGAGGAGATTGGATTAATGAAATTCAGATTAGCTGAATGCTTTAGCTGTTCTACAGGCTGTGGAACAAATGACATCACTCCATGCCAGTGATAAAATACATGGGGTCGACACTGAGAGGTTGAATGGTTGTGGGCCCCATGTATTCTATGACTGGTGTAGATTATTGGTTCCACAGCCTGCTGAACAGCTAAAGTGTTCAGCTAATCCTATCTCGGATTAATGAAGATGTGGCTGAGTGCTTCTATGAATGTGTTGTCATAAGGTGAAAATTTACTAGGGGAGTGGCTAGTTCCTTTGTAGCATCTGATGTTAGTATTAATATGGGTTATCGATTCTTTACTCTTGGCTGGTCCGATTGATAAATATTACTTGGATTATTGTTATTATTGTTGTTGTTACTGCTGCTGCTATTGTTGTTGAAGTTGTCTTACAGGACTTATTTGCTGAACAGGAAGAGCTGACTCGGTTGTATGGACCAGAAGCCATTGCTAACATTGAAGATAATAATGCCAGCACAGTTCTTCAATCCACTAATGGTGATGGAAATGACCATGGGGAAGAAACTTCGAGGGAAAATGACTCCGTTTCCAGCCAGAAGAATGGAAACTTTCTTAACTCTAATGGGAAGCTCGACTCTGGTTCTAGCTGATGACCAACTTTTTTCTGTTTGCACTACTAATTTAGAGTCTAACCTTTCCGGTTTTTAGTTATTTCACTATGTTGAAAGCCTTGTTAGATCTGTATACATAGTTGTATAATTAATCGAACCCGGAAAATTCGGTGTCTCTTGCTTCTCCATTGATCGAAATTGATTGTATTAGCACATTGCTTGGTATGCATGTTGATTACTGACGGATGAGGTTTTCTGGAGAGTTGCTTTTACACCCTTTGGTTTATGCTAATAATTGATATGGGGGGGGGGTTGTAAAAAACAGCTGTCCGTGCTCTTGCTGTAGGTAGAGGCCAAGTGGTAAAGAATGGGTCCAATATAATTTTGTTAAAAGGGCAGCCCACGTCTGGGGAGGGACATATGTATGCAGCCTTACCCTGCATATACAGAGAGGCTGTATGTTTATGTTTTTGATCCTTTCTGATAGAAAATATAAATATATCTCATCATCTTGATGAAATGGTATTGAAATAACAAGCAAGATGCTAATGGTCCCCATAATGATTATTGATCTGTTCGCATTGGGACGCAATTTCTTTTTATTTTTTCCAACACAAGATTTCAATAATGATTTTCAGTTTGACATATTCAATTGAACATTATGCTGTACATTCCTAAATCTCTACTACACACCTAAAAAAACATGCTATACTTTCCTAGCATCTAAACCATCCCAACATGCCTCAAAGCTTGTGTTTCTGGGATCCGCACAGCAAGGCGTATTTTGCGATGGTTTAGATTGTGTTTCTGTTGATTAATAAATTTTGATGTTTCATGTATAACCAGGATACTCACTACACCCGACTTCAGTCAGAGCAAAGCCCGCTCCAGTTGCAAGGGGCTGCTCGAAGGGTGCAAGCACCGACCCACCCTGATAGAAGCTGAACTCCAATTCTAGTCGAGTTTCAATTTGGCACCTTCCATGAAAGACGTAAGTGTCATTTAAAGCACCCAGTAACAGACATTAAAATGGTTACCTTATGATGGGTATGCTTTATCCAAGGTTAAGGTTCATACATCAGTTGTCGTCTTTAGATGTAATCCACCAACTAGTAGAAAGAAGGAATAGTAGTTTAAATTTAATGATATCTGGAGATGCCACCATTAAACTTGCCCATTAACTGTTCTGTCCAGTTACAGAATCAAAAGTCCGTACGTGCCCATTAACATGAATGATCAGCAGAAATGGGCTTTTAAGTTTTAAGGGTCCATTTGGTTGTAGTTGGAATCGGAATTGAAATTGAAATTCTTTAGAATTGGAATCAGAATCAAAAAATCAAAATCCTCCAGAATTGGAATTGGAATTGAAATCAAAATCCTCAAAAATTGAAATTGGAATGATTCATTTCCATAGTCTGGTTCAAAGTTCAAACAAGAACGAGAATGAAAATTAGAATCACAGAAATGAGATTTCATTCCCAAGAGAGGTGCAAAAGATGGCCATTCCCTCAAATGGGGGAATGTCATTCCAACAGAAATGAGAATAGAATTCCAATTCCATCCAACCAAACAATTGGAATCAGAATAAGCCTTCCCATTCCAATTCCATATCCCTATTCCTGCAAATCAAACGAAACCTTAAAAAATTTCCCATTTCATTCATTACAAGGGACCGACGTTCTTACACCAATAACTGGGCGCTTCAAGATAGATTCTAAATTCCTCTCATTGTAAAATATTCGTCTATTTCACCCCAAATTTATGAGATCAACTAACGAGAACTAAATGCAACTGAAATTTGCACATTTATGGTTCTTAATTACAACTTTACAAGCATTAAAGTTCAATGCAGAAAATGTTAATTGTGCAATTTGATGGGCGTGGCAAATGCAATAACTCAATTATAACCCCAGGCTGCCAGGCAATGCACGACTACGACATCTAAATATATAATACAGAGAGGAAAGAGGGGGAGGTGAGGGGTCTTCTCACCACAACCAACAGACCTCTCATTTTTCATACGTGGTTAGTTATTTCAAAACTAAATCGTCGAAAATGTAAGAAGTCGAAACAAAAAACCCTCTCCAATCTTAATTGTCTGTAATAAAATCCATCCACTAATCAAATAAAATCCCTTTTAGGTCTTAATTGTTTTTAATAAAATTCATTACAGCTCTTGCCAATCATCAATGTTTGTAACATCTTCCTTTGTTTATCGACTAGTTTTTATGTTTTTTAGTTTTTTCCTTTATTACAAACATGTTCATGGCCTCAGGGTGGGTCGGTTAAAGGCCTGGCTACCCCTTGAAACAAGTCTTACCCCGAAATTCCTCTTATTTCACGTATCAATGAACCACCGATATGATACGCATTAGCTAATACAGACCGACATGTATCGATACCCATTTGCAGACCTTCTCACCCACGAGAAGGAAGCATCTACATCGCGAATTTCCTTTTTGCAACCAAGAAATTATCAGTAGTGAATCTCCTTCAATCTCTACCCATCTTAAATTTAACTGTTTCAACAGCCTCATCCTGAATAACAGAGCCTCTAAGAAAACGAGGTTTGTTAATTTTTATTAATTCAAGTTTTTAGAACCTATAGTAGTTTCTTTTGGTAGTGCAGGAAGTCATGGCCTAGACATTTTGCGGTGCCAGCCAAACGGCAATCATATCCTAGAAGCAAGGTTCAAAATATTGATACGGGTGTATTGGGCAAATCGATAGTGTTTTTTTTTTTTTTTACTTTTTTTTATATATATTTTTTCTGAAACCGGTTCAGGGGGACCAGTTTAGGGCTCCACCCTGAACCGGTCAGACCCCCGATACATCCATTATAAGAGTGTATCAGAAGGGTCCCAGAACGATATGTATCGGCCGATACATGTCGATATTTTAAACCTTGCCTAGAAGCTTCCCAAACTGGCTAAGGGGTTCTTTTACATGGGGGAAAGGATAACGAGGAAAAGAAAAGGGACAGGATGCAACCACCAGATTATTCATGATCAGAGTATGGGAGATATGAAGGACCTGGGGGGTCATGTTAGGTAGGTATGGTAAGACAATAGAAAAGGTTGATGAACGGTATTTACAATTTAGCAAGCATCAAATGTTGTTTTCCCCAAGGGGCATCCACTAGGCAAAGGTATTGAAGCGGTGTGTGTGTGGGTGGGGGAGGGGGGGTACCTAACAAACAATCTCACAATCTGCAAGTTTTGTCACCTCTTTGACCATCAATGAGATTAAAATTGCTTATGCCACAGAATGCTAAAGATGGGACAAATCTCTGGTGGATTTCTACCGGTCAAGCAATGAGACCCAATGAAGACAAAAGTGCCCCAAGAGTCCATGGATGGTAGGTACTGAGGGTTTAAATTCCTTTATTTGGAAGGAATATCATAAATGCTTTTTGATGAATGGGAATATCATAAAATGTTCAAATCATTGAATCCCAATTTCATTTGGTTTTCACTAAGACCATGTCTGAAAAATTGTAGGTAAATACTTAGTTCATGCTTTTAAGATCCCTGAGGAGATGAAACATGTTTCACCTACAATGTGGACTGTAAAACTCAGCTACTAATAGCTGTCTTCTGTTTAAAGTTAACTGTTAACATATAAAATGGATAGAGTATGGATACTGGACATTCAGATAAAGCAAATATCTAGTTGACGTGCTCAAGTAGATGAACTAGGGCTCAACTAATACAAGACTACTAAGTACATTACACCACATTACAGGGAACACTCGTCTACATCCAGAAATACAAAACAACATACTCACCCTTTTTTTGTCTTTGCATAAGAACTATGGAACACTGGGTCATATATGGCAGGTGGGCTAACTAAATGAAAACAAGAATCAGTTATAGTGGAAGAGAAAGCAAAATTCATAGTGGAAACAAACCCAGTGGAAATGGATAGACATAATTCACAGAGCTCTTGAAAGGTGAAATCAAACTGACCTACATGTATACTTTTTGAATACATTAAAAGCCTGTTAAGCAAAGGGCTGTCTCAAAGAAAAAAACAAGATTTCCTACTCTGAACCATCTGGGAAGGATTTCAGTGCATCTTGATTACCATTAACGTAGTATTCCACAACTGCTTTCATTCTTGGAAACTTATCTGGATGGTAATTCACATGAACAATTACTGGCTTTAACTTTCTTAGTTTATCATCTTTCCTCACAGTCTTAAATAGGACTTTGCTATTCATAAAGAGATAGAAATCCATTGTTCTCTTGGAAGCATGAAGTCCATCATAACCAGGATGTGAAGGGAAAAATAGTTCCTCATTGAAGACTGCCTGGTCCCATGCCTTCTGCCAAGAGAGCCGATCAGCAACACGATCCAAAAGCTCAATTGAGGGAATCGTGGGCCTTATATAAAAGAAGCCAGAATTATAAACCCATATTCGCATGGTATGTGCATATCGAGCCCAACCCATGGCGGGTTCATCAAAGACATCATTATATCCATAAGCAGTCATGTTATTGTGGCCATCAGTCATAGACTCCACATCTGAATCCCGATAAAGATGATCAAATGGGTTCTGCAAGTATATAATATCAACATCTGAAAGGAGAACACTGTAACCCAGCTGCAAGAACTCCCTCAAGATATGGAACTTTAAGCCAGAGACAGCATGATTACCACCTGTCCTTGCAATAGAATCAATACCTTCATCAGGGTCTCTTCTGTACACTGGGACGTCATTTGATTTGCAAAAATTTACAATCTCATCATCCAGAGCAACCACCAAATAATTGTGTATGCCAACTTTCTTGATGCTAGTGAACCACAGCTCCAACATATTCTTCACATTTGAATTTGCAAGTGCAACTATAAGCTCTTTCCGGACAGCAACTTGCTCAAGCATCTTTGCCAATCTTGGGTTCACAGATTCATCAGGAACAACAGTTGGGTTTGTTCTTAAACCTTTAACAGTGCCAAAAGGCCCAGCTTTATGCTGTTCACCTAAAACAAGGAACTGCTTCTGAGCCTGATCCTTCCCCTGTTCAGCCAACCGAAGCTTTTCGGTTAGTTCCCTAACCTGCTTCTTCAGCTCCGCATTCTTCTCTGACACTGAGACAAGCTCCGACTTCAACATATTAATCCTTTCGGGTGATTCACACATGGACGAACCAACCTAACAAACCAAGAGAGGGAAGAGGATAATGGAAACCATGGTTTTCAAAAATCTCCTACCAACACCCAATTTCATGCCACAGAAACAGTAAAAAAATCATGGATACCAACAACAAAACACTGCTGATACAATTCAATTTACAAACCAATATTGTCAAAAGGAACCTAATGAAAACATCCCAAAGTGTGGGATTTAGCCACATGCAAATAACACCATTTGCAGCACCACTAGGATGTGACCTGTTGCAGTTGAAGGATATAGGAGAACTAAAGGGCAAGCCAAAAAGAACATAGATTGAAGGTTGAATTAGTGAAAAATGATTTGAGGGATCAGAGACAATAGTTTGACAATGAATATGACTGTCTATAGTTGAAACAGGCCTACTTAAAAATGCATGCATGGAGGCTGTTTGTTGCTCCTGGGGGGTGGGGAGTTGAAGTGACTCTCATATGTGATGCAACAACACATATCTCTCATCAGTTTGCATTGATCAACCCAAAACATTTCAGGTAGAAACAGCAATCGTACCAAACACAACCCATGTATTCACTATTTTCCATAGCTCCATCTTTTACATGCATTTAGTCCTCCTTTGAGGTAGAAAACAACAAGAGAATTAAAATAATCAAGTGATCAAGAAAATATAAATATTTCTTTGTGATAGGGTTTTGAGGTGAAATAAACCCAAATGTCAAATTCTTAATTGATTTTCAATCTTGGGTCTAGATGAGTTTTTAAAGGAACCCAAAAAATATTAATATAATGATTAAAACTGAGTTTAGAATCCGGTTATGTACCTTCTAAATTCTGTTCAAATCCCATCAAATCATCTTAGAATTCATGCAATTCAATGGGGTTCAAAAGAATTCAATCATAATTCTGGCCAAAATGGGCTTTGGTGGAAGAACTGAATAATGGGGGTTTGATTCAATTCAAATCATACAATTTGAATCGCGTGAGTCACACTGATTTAACAACATTAAAAACAAATTGTCCAACTTTTTGTGCTGATAAAAAAAGTCCAATTTTTTTATGGATATTAAAAGGCAATTATCTTTCTCAACTCGATATCCCACATAATAAGCATTTCACTTTTCTTTTCCTTACAAATATATCAAATTATCAATTCCAAGCCCCAATGAATCAGCACTAAGGTTTGTGTCCAGAATGGATTCACAACAGTGTCATTCAGATTCAAAATCAAACTGAGAAACCAAGGTCAACTTTCTCATTTTCAGCACGGGACCAGGGAAGTTCCAAATTTTAGAGATCTAAACCCAAAGCATCATCAATTCATAGCAGACTATTCTACGGAAAGAATTTAAACGGAGATGATGCAATCTCGCTATAGATATGAACCGTTATTTTCCTGCTCGGTCTTGAGTCTTCCACAACAATCTTTTTCAGTGAACTACCAAGCAGTAACTTATCAATTCCAATAGTAACCACATGCTATTCGAATCACTTCCTCTGAACCTATAACCGTACCTAATCTCAAAGTCAAACAAAATCCACATGATTCTCAGAAGTCGAATAACATGCAAAGGGAGATTAAATCCTCAAAATGAGAAGTGCAATAACCATTTCAATATCTTTAAAGAAAGAAGTACGTATTTAAGGAATAAAATTCGTACCTGAAGACTGGTCCTTGGAATTCTACGACCTTGAGCCGGCGGATCGGAAGCAGAGAATCCATGAGGAAACAAGAAGGCGAAGACGCATCCTAGAAGAACTCCAGTTGCAATCGCAAGGGCGATTCTCGACCCCCGCAGTGACTGTCCGCTGTTTCTCATCAACAGCCCATCTCTACGCCCCGTCATGTCTTCGTAACCTCACGTTCCACAGAGAAGAAGGAACGACAAGAAGAGGAGGTATCGCCCTTCGCTCCTTTTCTTTTATAGTAGCATATTATAACAAATAGAACATGAAACTTTTTTTTTTTTATATCACAGAGAACGTGAGCGTTTATGTTCTCACTCTAAAGTCAACTGCAATTTCGAAACCCTAAAAAATGTTTCTAGCATGCCCTCTCTCTCTCTCTCTCTCTCTCTGGCTCTGATTCACACTGTACAGAGAAAGAAATTGTCGCCGAGAGTGGAGTAGTTGCTTGACTGAAGAAGGAAAATCAGGCATGCTTTAATTTCAGAGGGAGTGATTCCAATAGCCTGAGCTTACCTGCGGACGACTTTTCAACCGCCAGATCAGAATGTGAAAAATTAAATTATATTATGTTAACAAAATAAATGATATAGTATAATTTTAACAAATATTAAAATTATGAAAAAATAGGAATTTTTTCAAATACATAAAAACATTGTGTTTGGAAAATGTTAAAAATGTATAAAAACATTGTGTTATTTGAAAATGGTTGATGTTACATGAGTTAATGAAAAGTATAAAAATTTGTTGTTTTGCAATGTCATAAATAATAAATATGCCCTGCAATGACAACGATTAGTATAAAAATTAAGAATACAATCATAATAAAGGGTTTTTGTCGACTTTCAATGAATAATTTTTGAACAGTGACAAACGGAAAAATCTATCAAAATAAAAGGAGTATGTAGCATAATACATTGAGGTTTGAGAAAATAAGACCAGAAAACCAATAAAAATTTAGGGAAAAATTCAGACTAGTATTCTGTACTTTGGGTTTAGTGTTATTTTGGTCTTTAAACTTTTAAAATGTATCGATTTAGTATCTAAATTTTCAAAATGTATCAATTTAGTATAAAACCTTTAATCACCGTTAAGTGGTATATGAAATGACACAAACACTCTTCGAGTATTATCTAATTTTTTTATCAATCATTAAAACTAATTTTCCTCCTTTGTGCTCCCACTCTTTATCAACCATATCCACCGTCCCCACATGCTCTTGGAACGTTTTCCCACACCTCTGTAAGACTAACAACGATGGACAAATCCCCACTCAAAACCATGGTCTTGTTAATTGAGTATTCTACATCAATGGGCTGATGGGTGTTGTTTCACGTCTCGACCTCTTCACCTTAAGATCTCGTGCTTAATATGATAGATGCAGGCGTGCATGGCCAGTGGCACAATCAAGGTGCAGGTAGGGACAACTACCAACATTGGCTTAGGTTTGCTAATTGCCATTCTCAATGGCTTAGAGGTGATAAAGATGAGCAACTGCGACAAGAGATTGGATGGTATGTTCTGTGCCGAAGGGTCTTGCTTAGGGCTAGATACATGAAGAACTTCAGTGAAGATTGTTGTTGGTATTGATTTGGTCAAGGGGGTGACCGGATCAATACCCTTACTGTGTTTAAACCTGAGAACTTCTCATCATGGCTCCTCCCCACAATCTGCTTTACCCTTACTATGTTTAAACCTGGCTAAAACCTAGAAACTACTCTTTAAAACCAACACATTTCTGTAGTATTTTAAAGGCAACCAAGTTTGGCCGAATTAGAACTGTCTGAACCTGACTCTCTTTTGAGAAAGAAACTTAGAATTTTAACAATTTGTGGTAATGCTTCTACAGAAGTTAGAAATGAAAAAAGAAATTCGGAAATAACTTCAAATTCAAAGTTCAAACCCACTTGAAATTTCTCAGCAAAGATAGAGTATAGGCAGTAGGAATCCCGGTGCTCCCTCTGATACTATCTAGTCTTCACTAAGATGAGCCTAGAGCATTTCTAATGGAAACCTGTTGCAGGAGATAGGAGAAACTGAAAGTTTGGAAAATGTTTCATAATCATTTGTTCCTACAGCTCAGTTTGGAAGGAGTACAAATACAAATTTGTAGAGTACAAAACCTTGTATTTTATATTATTTTCTATATATTTATATTGTACATATTTGTATTTATACTCTTTCCAAACTGAACTTATATAAAAATAAAATTATAAACTAGAGCAAATTTTCAAATATATAGACATGCATTTTAAATTAACATATCAAATATAGTTGAAGAAAAAAACAACAAGCAGTTTCCATGAAGTGGATCAAGTACATAACCCAGACCAAATGTTGTTCACTCCATATGCTTATTAACTAATTCTTGGGTTGAATTGTGAACTTTGTGTCAGCTTACCTTTCAAAACTTTCCCCATGGTTATCTTCTTCCATTTTTACAATGGATTGATCATATTCATTGAATAAATCATCTGATATCACTTATTTCCTCATAGTTATTTATAGAGAAGCACACAAAGATTATCCCTCTAGACATTGAAAGGTGTTTTTAAAAGTTCAAATGCTCTCTCAATTACATTTCACAGCATGTTGATTGTAGTGTTCCCAGCATGAGAATGTGGAAAATTTGTTACCCAGGTACCACACATTTTGATAAAGTATACTAAAGGTTGAATGCAAAAATAACCTAGTGGACACAAATCAAGTTCCCACATGGACGATTTTTTATTTTTTTGTGAAGATTAAGAGGTAGCCCTATTTGAGTATTTTCAGTAATTATTCCAAAAAATAAATATGAAAGGGTCGTAATTTGATAATCATATTAGATCGTTGGATTGGTGTCTCAAAGTATTTTTTTTTTCTATCTAACATTGAACCAAATTTGTACAGATAGAAACTAAAGGAACACTATATCATGTGCTGTTCAGTATAAGATTATTTTCGTTCTGCACATTATGTATTCTAATTGAACAAAAACATAATAATAGAATACCTAATCAGGCGAAATTTCAGCTTCATCATGTGATTAAAGCTGCTCTACAATAGAATAGACTGACCTGTTCTGAAAAGCTTCAAAAGTTTCTTAAAAAATCAACCTGGGGATACAAATCCAGCATACAGGATACAGCTAGCCTTGCTCTTATTCGTTAAAGTTGGGTTCAAATTGACAAATATTCGCCCTAAGACCTTTTACCCAAAAGAAAAACTAAAAACAGTTGCCCTAATCAGATTAACATAGCTCATGTGACGTCTGCATCAAGGTTTTAACTCAGAATCAGAACCGTTCTATCCACTGGTTTTCAGGTCAATGGCTCAACCGTCCAATTTAAATGGACAGCAGACAGCTCGTGCCAACTTAAAAAAATAAAAATAAAAATAAAAAACAGTCAAAAACCATTAAACAGGTCAAGTAAATCAACGGTTTGATCACTGAGCCAATGGATTGATGACCAAATCAACATTTTTTACCAAAGACCGGGTTAAGAATGAAACAGAACCAATTGCCTGAATGGTCCCTGAGCCAAACAGTCTGACCATCTGGGTTAACGAAAACATTGGTCTGCATAACTAAACCACTACCGTACTAAATTGCGATAACATAGTCCACTGTTGAGCGCTACTAGGTTAAGAATTCTGGGCGGGGATCAGCTAGAACCGGAACCAACCCGATAGAAAATATTAAGGACTTGGAACTGAACCAAACCCAATAGGATTTGTAATTTTAGACCCAAAATTAAATCGACTGGTTCTCAGGATAATTGAGTCTGACCTGACAGACCTGATTATAATAAATAAACAAACAAACAAACAAACAAATAAATAAATAATATTATATTATATTATATACATATTATTTGTATTATATGAATATAACTCAAGTCAGATCTAAATCGATTCAGGATTGGATGAAATCTGTTTTTAACCGATAATAATCGAAACACTATATCAGGACCTGAAATCGATCCATCAGTTCTAATTCCTAGAACCAGAACCATCTCAATCGGTTCAGGTCCGTCGGGTTAGACCCAACCCATTGACATCCCTAGTAAGGGAAAAATAGATCAACAACTTAATAATTTAAGCTTTTAGGTCAAAAGGCAATATCTAATTCTTGTGTATAAATGCTGCATGCATATACAAATTCCCCAGCTTTCAAACAAAAGAAGATAACCTTAGTCATGCATAGACCTGTTCATGGGTTAGGCTCAAGCTTGACTTTAAGTACCATTGGTTTACAAATTTCTCATTTACCTTACCGAGGTAAGTGCACTCATCCAAATAATGTTTCCTAGGTAACACTTACCCATATTCTTTTAATTTTCAGGTAAATAAGATAATAACATTTTTACCTATAAAAAGCTAATATTAAAAAGGGCAAACTTACCCCATCATATTTTATAAACTTTTCTCCATGGATAAATTTTACTCATGTAAATGAAACTCTTTATGCGAACATTGACCAACTTTCCCCCTCTTATTTATCGGTAAAGAAACGGGACCTTAGACAAAATCACAAACCCGAAACAGTGTAAAATCAAGCCCATGCTGTCCAAGCCATCTTACTCAAATTTGTGGGCTAAATGGTGACACAAACACCAAACCCATCAATGATGCCTAATGAGATTGTTAAAGAGAACGATTGGATGATCAAGTACAAGTGTACAACCACAAAGAATCCATGCAGTTACATACAGAGTCATGGACAGACCATTTGGCAGGCTACCTTCTAAATTATTCATTTGAGATGGGCCCAGAAATGTAAAACAATGAGACAATGCACACCTTGGTACAACTTGAACCTATTCACCACCTAAATTCTCCTAAAGCTAAAATTGTTGCATGGAGCCTTTTACAAATTACAAGGCTGATTATTATGCCGCGATTTCTCTGGCGGTAAATAGTCAGTCTTAGGCCGAGTTTGATTTGATATAAGAATTACATAAAAGTTTACTTCGACGTATCTGTCAAAGGGGCAGACAAATTGCTGAAATATTTGAGTAAAAAATCTTTCTTCCCCTTTTACTTTGGAATAAATGAAGCCAGGTATATAAGAAATGCAAGGCCAGAACTGCGTCCTTGCCAGAAACCGGTTGTAGTTTAATATTTTAAATTCTGCATCACAATTATATATTCATACTCTTTAGCATCTTCATGTTTGGGGTTTTTACCTATCCATACTTGAGGGCAATTCAAAATATCGATACGTATTAGCCCGTATCAATTGATACGTACTATACAAGGAATTTCCCGATATGCCCTTATAGGGGTTGTATCGGGTCAAACCATAGTTCAGAGGATAGCCAAGACTTAAACCGACCCCTCTGAACCGGTTTAAAAAAAAAAAAAAACATAAAAATAAGCACCGGCACAGGCCAATACGCCCGTGTCGATATTTAGAACCTTGCCTGAGGGTTGTTAAACAAATATAACACAACCCAAACAAAGGCAACCTAACAACGGAACCTGCACCGCATTCAAAGCAAGCCAGGACTGAAGTTTGCCATAGGATAACAAGTAATGCTGGACAAATAGATGTTATCTTGCTAGAGCAAATGGCATGCATATACAAAAGCTAGAAAGTGAGAAAACCTTTACATCTGTAGATTAATTTGTCAAAACGGACTCCTTGATTTGGCATTGGAGATGGAAACTTCAATTATCTACGTCACCAGCGTAAGGAAAGGAGAATCAATCAATCGTTGTCTCCTGAGTCTGCATCTTGGATTTGTCCCGTGGGGCCCTCAATTGTGCTCTCACCTTGTGGCTCCACTGGGTGAACAATGCACTTCACCACTTGATTTGCTGAAACAAGAAATGTTGAATTTTCAGTCACCAAACAAGGCAATTTTCAAGTCTTAGAAACCACCAAATATCACAAGCTGGAATGATCCATACCTGATCCCATAAACTTTATGAGAAATGTCCTCATAAACTGGAATTCTGCTTGGTGTGCACTAAAGAATTTGGCCTACACCAGTTCAATGAATTTTTTTTTGAATTTGTATTTCATGTGTGAACTATGACAATCTAAACAAGTATATATAGAAATTGTAAAAAATAAAAGAATGAAAACAAGCTAATATCCACGAATTCTCAATTCAGATCTGTTTGCACTTTGCACAATACATTATCATTTTTTTTGCAAGTAAAATGAAAATTTTATTAAAAAAAGGATTACAAGGAAGGTGACAAGAAATCCACAAAACATTCTCATCAGGGTCCAGAAATTAGGGGTGCCACTAGGACGGGCTTGGGTTCAGCTTTCCTTAAAATTTAAGTGCGCCCAACCTGATGACCAAGGTCCAATGTGGTGCAAATTCTTCAGATACCCAATTTTCAACCCTATCTAGAATAGAAATCTTGAAGGTACATCCAGCATAAACTAATGAGGTCAGCTAGATGTTATCTGATGAACCATATCAAGCATCTCCTAGGTCAATAATTATTGCACAACGCTGTGGCCACAAATCTACAACACTCCTTCCAGCATTACATGGAGGACTTGTGGAGACTTTGTAACTTGATGTACCTTATTAGTATAGTCCCTGTTGTATATTACTTTTACATCTTATTCTTCTTTTCTCTTTCAGCCCTATATGGGCATTCTTGTAATTGTACATATCTTTTAATATATAAGAGACTCTTTGAGGTGGGGGTAATTCATTCTTGATAGACTTGTTCATGGGCCGGGCCGGGCCGGGCTTTTACTCTTCATTAATGAAAAATTGTTAGGCCCGAGCCCGGCCCTAATAAAAAGCCCGAAGCCCGATTGTGTTCGCCGGAACTGAGTTCGTGGTGACTGTGGTCTGTGAGCCTACGACCTGCGATTTTAAGTTTAACAGTGATCAGTTCGCGTCTAAGAAAGAGAGAGAGAGAGAGAACTCTCCGCCGCAGCCGGTGCCTATATTCGCCGCCTCGCCGTCGCCGGTGTCTGAGATTTGAAAGAGAAGTGAGATTTGAGAAGAGGAATGAGAGTCAGAGAGAAAAAGAAAGAGAGAGAGAGAGAGAGAGAGAGAGAGAGAGAGAGAAGGAGAGGAGTGAGGACTCACCGCCGGAGTTGTTGCGCCGGTGAACGTTCGCCGCCTCGCCGGTTGTGTGGCTGCCTGAGAGTGTGAGGATGAGAAGTTGAGAACTGTGGAGGATGTGGAGACTGGAGAAGAATAGTTCGGCTGGAAAAAGAAAGGAAAGAGGCAAAGAGGTGAAAAAAAGAGGGGGTCTTCAACTAGGGTTTTTAGGTTTAGTTATAGGTCAGGCCGGGCTATTTTGGCAAATCCCGAGCCCGACTCGAATTTATTGCGGGTCGGGCTTTTTGGCCCGAGGTTAAGCCCACAAGCCCATATGCGTGTTCAAGCCCGTCCGAGGGCCGGGCCGGCCCGTCGGGCCACCCGGCCCATGAACAGGTCTAATTCTTGACACCTCTAAGATTATTCTTGTTCTTTTCTCTATTCGGCCAAGGGTGTTGACATGGTATCAAAGCAGGTTGCCCTCTGATCTATTTTCTTGCTCTCTTGAACCTCACTAGAAGTAGTAAACATGTCGTATTAGGGCTGTCTTGATCAACCCTTTTCTGCTCTTTCTTCTTTGCGCAACCAGCAGGAGAGATTTCTTTAGATCTCTCTTGGGAGACATTGGTTTGAGGCCAAACTTCAGATCTGGTGTCGCCTAGACCTGATCTATTCTTCCTACAAACAGCATCTGATTTGATGAAGTTTTCGAAGAAGTTCTGATCTTCTTCTTGGGGCAACAACACTGTATAGTTTCCTTTTTTGGACTGCAACAACTTTGGACTTCAGATCTGGTGTTGCCTAGACTTGATCTATTTCACCTACAAACAGCATCTGATTTTGTTAAGTTTTCGAAGGAGTTCTGATCTTCTTCTTGGGGCAGCAGTACTGTACAGTTTCCATTTTTGGACTGCAACTCTTTTTTGGACTTCAGGCCTTCTACATCAGCCTGCGATTTAAGTTTTTCTCTCCAGATTGAAGGGTTCTCTCAAGCTCTCCTTAACCCTACACTCAGTTTCTGGTTTGGAGTTTTTAAGGACTGCCTCAATCAGCATAAGATACCTCCTTGTTCTTGAAGAAGACGCCTGATGTGTTGGTAAATCACAGATTTCTCTCAATCGGCCAACTCGATCAACCTATAACCCTAGATTTGGTGTTGTCCTAGGGTTTTCTTGCCTCCCATTTATTTGATTCAGACTTCAGATTCATATTTGAACGGCCTTAGACTCGACAGTCTTAAAAACTTGCCTTGTTTGGACTGTCATATTGAGTTCTTGATTGCTGAATTTGGTTGTCTCTGATATCCTTGTGCCTGGACTGCTGTTTTCTTGCTAAAATGGCCTCTGATAGAGTCAATACTATTCCTTTAAAACTGGAAGGATCTACCTATGGAATTGACACTGCTGTTGTATCAAATGGGAATAAGAAATCTACTACTAGTGGCGATTCTTTTGTTAAAGGTGATTCTCTAGCATCTATGGTTGAGCAAAACATTCGACAACTGGTAACATTTGCTATTCCTTTTGCTCTTTCTGCCATTGGCTTAACCTGGTGAGTTTTCCGGTTATTGTGCTTCTCTTTCTCATATTTGGATCATTGACTTTGGAGCTACCAACCACATGACAGGAGCCTACCTTAACCAACCAAGTAACCTTACTAAAACCCATCACAAACGTATTGTTATTGCCAATGGTGAAAAGTTAAACATCATTGGTAGTAGTGATCTGTCTCTTAAGCTTTCACCCACTGCATCTTTCCCTCTTACCAAGACCCTTCTTGTTCCTAATCTCACTACAAACTTGATTTCTGTTGGCCAATTAATTGATGAAAGTAACATTTTCATCTTCTCTCAGGATGGATGTTTGGTTCAGGACTGGGACACTGGAAAGGTGAAAGGGAAGGGGCACAGGTTGGGCCGTCTATTTGTATTGGAGTTCGAGACGCATCAAACAGCAACATCATCAGTTTATTTCAGTTCCTCCACTTCTAGTTCCTTTTTGAGTCAGAAATAATGTTTGGGACTTATGGCATAAACGTCTGGGTCATTTACATTTTGAAAAATTAAAATTTTTGTTTGATTCAAGCCTTATTAAGAATAAAGTTCCTTCCTTGCACACCTTTGATATATCTTGTGTTTCTTGTTGCTTAAGTAAGAGTCGTACCTTACCATTTCCTCACATATCTAAGCATGCTACCTCTCCCTTCAAGCTTATACATAGTGATGTCTGGATTGCTTCTGTCTCTTCTCGGCTTGGATACAAATATTTTGTGTTTTTCATTGATGATTGTACCAGGTACACACGGATATACTTCACCACAAGTCTGAGGTGTTCCCAACATTTAAGTTGTTTTATGCTATGGTGCGGGTTCGATTTCAATCACAAGTGAGTATTCTCCATTCGGATTCAGGAGGAGAATACACTGAAGGAGATTTTTTATCCTATTTGAAGGATCATGGAATACAAGTGCAACGATGTTGTCCAGATACTCTTCAGTAGAATGGTGTGGCCGAGTGCAAGATTGGACATACCCTTAGTGTTGTGAGGACATTATTGTAGGAGTCCCATACTCCACCTTCCTTTTGGATAGAAGCGGCCAGTACAACTGTGTTTTTGATCAACTATATTCCTTCCTCAGTTCTTGGTAATATGTCTCCCTTTCAGAAGTTATTTGGTCGTTCTCCAGATTATCTATGCTTCATGTTTTTTGTTGTGTGTGCTTTGTTCATCTTTCCTCTCATGAACATTCTAAATTGTCTACACAGTCTGTCATGTGTGCCTTTGTGGGTTACAATCCTGACCACACAAAGGATTTATTTGTTATGATCCCTCTATTCGTCGCATTCGTATATCACGTAATGTTGTTTTCCTTGAGCACATTTCATTTTTTGTTGGAATTGCTAGACTGTCTGCACCGTTTGTTTCTATTTTGCCAAACTTTGATTCACAGGATGCTCCACCTCCTTCTGCTGAGAAGGATTTTCTCGTCTTCTCTCACAAGCGGTTACGTGCCCCAGCCCCTGCGCCTGCGACTCTCCCTCCTCCTGGTTCAGATCATCATCCTACCACTGCACCTATAAGTGATACCTCTACTTCAAACACTCTTCATACTTCTATTCCTCTTCGTCGTTCTACTCGTATATCTAGACCTCCTGACCGCTATGGTTTTCCTTTAAACCATAGCTCTTTGTCCGTTGTCCTATCCTCCACAGATGTTCCTCACTCTTACCAGGAAGCTAATAGTAGCCCTCATTGGAAGGAAGCCATGGATGCAGAGATTCATGCTTTACATGAGAATGACACTTGGGATCTTGTGCCTACTCCTCCAGATATATCCATTGTTGGGAGTCGTTGGGTTTACAACATTAAGCTGAAGTCTGATGGATCTCTTGATCGATACAAGGCACGATTGCCCAGGGATATAGTCAGGAGTATTGTATCGACTATGAAGAAACTTTTGCTCCTGTTGCAAAGATCACCACAGTCCATGTTCTTTTAGCAATGTCTGTTGCTCAGTCTTGGACCATATGCCAGCTTGATGTGAAGAATGCCTTTCTTCATGGTCAGTTGAAGGAGACGGTCTACATGAAGCCTCCTTCTGGATACTGCAGTGATCCTTATTTAGTATGCCGCCTCAAAAAATCTCTATATAGTCTAAAACAAGCTCCCCGGGCATGGTTTGAACGCTTTCGCGATGTTGTAGTTGCTGCTGGATATAGCCAGAGTTCTTCTGATCACTCTTTATTTGTTAGGCGACAACCTCAAGGTATTACCATTCTCCTACTATATGTTGATGACATGTTGACTGGGAATGATGCTAAAGACATTCGTGAATTGAAACTATTACTTCATAATTCCTTTCGCATGAAGGACTTGGGCCCTCTCACATATTTCTTGGGACTGGAAGTACATCGTAGTGATCGAGGGTATTTTGTTTGTCAACAGAAGTATGCCTTTGACCTTGTTAAACTTGCTGGTCTTAATGATGAAAAGTATGTTGATACACCTAATGGAGCTAAATCTTAAGCTATCTAAATCTGAAGGTCCATTACTTCTTAATGCTGCCTTATATCGCCAGCTTATGGGGTCCCTCATTTATCTCACTATGACTCGGCTTGATATTTCTCATGATGTTCAAGTTGTTAGTCAATTTGTTTCTACTCCGCGTCAGCCTCATATGACTGTTCATCGCATCATTCGATATGTTAGCACAACTTCCCAGGGACTGTTCTCCTCCTCTCCTATTCAGTTGAGAGCATATGCTGATGCAAATTGGGCTGGTTGTCCAAACACTCGTACGTCCACTTCTGGGTGGTGTGTTTTTATGGGTGATTCACTCATCTCTTGGAAGTGTAAGAAACAACAAACAGTCTCCAAGTCTTCCACTGAAGCAGAGTATAGGGCCATGTCTTCGGTTTGCAATGAGGTTGTTTGGTTACAATCTCTCTTTATAGATCTTGGCATTCAGGTTCCTACTCCTATTCCTCTCTATGCAGACAATACGAGTGCTATCAAGATTGCATCTAGCCCTGTCTTCCATGAGAGGACCAAGCATATCGAGGTGGATTGCCACTTTATCCGAGATCTCTTCACTATTGGGTCTATATCACTTCCTCATGTAGCCTTGGACATGCAAATTGCTGATATTTTCACCAAAGTTATGACTAGAGTTCAACATCTCTTTCTTATAGACAAACTGATGCTTATGATGAGGCATCAGTTTGAGGGGGGGTGTTGAGACTCTGTAACTTGATGTACCTTATTAGTATAGTCCCTGTTGTATATTACTTTTACATCTTATTCTTCTTTTCTCTTTCAACCCTATATGGGCATTCTTGTAATTGTGCATATCTTTTAATATATAAGAGACTCTTTGAGGTGGGGGCCATTCATTCTTGACACCTCTAAGATTATTCTTGTTCTTTTCTCTATTCGTCCAAGAGTGCTGACATGATCATGTAGTAGAAGAAAAGGACAACAAATGGAAGGCTAAGACTAAGATCCTATGAAGTCTAACCAACAAGATCTCCAAGGAACCCATCAAATGTAGGGACGTAACTGGGTTGGATTCAAGTTGGATCAATTTGCACATTAGTTTAATTCAACTACGAGAACCCCTACCGGATTTGATTCAAAAAGCCAATTGATCCTAGGGGTGATGGACTGAATTTGACTTTCTATCGGATATTCAGATCTGATCTGAGTCCATTGCACTGCTTCAAAACCTTTGAAAAAGGAGGGGAAAAAAAGAAAAATTAGATAATCTATACATAGAAAAAAGTTTACAATAATATATAATATTATTAATATATATAACCAAGGTTAACTTTATAACCTCTCTCTATATATGATAGGATCGAATGGGAATACATCCGTATTCCATCTGTTACATGGGTATACTTTCCTAATCTGAGTCCAAAATAGTTGGACCGGATCTCACATTATCAAGTTAAGTTGACAGCCCTATAATCATACGGAGCCCTTTCCCTATAGGATAAGCCTTACTTTTCCACAATGGAGTAAATGGACCATAGTGTACACCAGTGCTTTAAAAGCGTAAGGCGCAAGGCAAGGCGCGCGCCTTTTTGAGGCAAGGTGCACAATTTAAAAAAAAAATGCAAAAAATTCAAAAAAAATCAAAAAATTATACAACATAATATTAATAAAAATATTAACTTAAGTTTTAAAATAAATGTTTCAGAAAACCTATTATCTAAAATTAAAATACATAAATACAATATGTAAAGCATATTCAAATGAGAATTTAAAAATGAAATCAAACATATAAAACATTTTCAAGCATATAAAACCCACAATCTCTTTTTTTCTCTCAATTGCATCAAGTAGCTAATGTGATATATTACATTCCTAATTCTACGAGCCGCCTTTGTGCCACGCCCCTCAAGGCAAGCCCAAACAAGTCCATGTTAGGGTCTTAAATTCTTAGATTTCACACAAAAAATAATAATTTTTATGGTTTAAATTTTCAAAAGGTGCACGCCTAGGTGCACCAGGCGTGTGCCTTTTGAATGGGCTGCGCCTAGGACCTGGGCGAGGCGCCTACCCTAAAATGTGCCTCGCCTAGGCGCGCCTTTTAAATCACTGGTGTACACACTTTCTTACTAGTTAGGCACTTATGCACCATTTGCAAGCTATGGGTTATAACACGCCCCAACCTGGGAACCTGTCCTCTGTATCAGTGTCAATACAATGGTAATCTAACACAGGCATGGCATGTATAGGATCATCAACTGAAGCAAATCAAAGTACCTCCAAAGTCCATCCCCATTGGGTAAACCACAACAAAAATACAAAGCAGCTATCAAGAATATCAGAAATAAAGATTATTACCCCAGGAAAAAGCACCCACTTCAATGAATTCTATATTATCTTCTTTGCATCACATACATCATTAACATGAGCGCACACCTTGGTAACATCAGAATTTCGTTGCCAAGTAAAATTCCAGATGTTTCAATTAATTTGAAAAAAGATTCTAGAGATTTACCATTTCTCCATATGTAAAATCCACTACATAATCAAATATAGCCTGACGTCTCAAGAGGAATGGGCGTAGATGGTTCGCATACAAATGCCTTGCCCCCTGATAAACAGCATGCAATAGATGAGGAGTAAGAGCAGAAACCGTAGGAGTAGCATATTACATGAATTATACAGAAATTCAGACATAACCAAGGGGTACATAAGGTAAGACTGTAAGTACAGTGGATCTATACAATAGCAGAAGTGCAGGAATTTGAAATGGGGAGCCAAACATTGTTGTCTCAATAAGCATTAAGCGACTAGAAATAGAAATGAGAATAACCCAAAATACAAAATTTTGCTTTTCAGAATGTTTTTTTTATTACAATATTTACCAAGACCAATCCATTTCCAAGTCACATGTATGCATTTAAACATACACATCAAGTCAAGTGTTAATAGCTAACTTATGAACTTGATCTTTTCAAGGATCAACAGCATACTAGATAAATTGACTATTACAGATTCAGAAATAACTATCAACTAATAATTCTTGCAAAAAATCTGGCAAACCTATTATCTTATGCTTACATTGGAATATGGTAATTGAAGCCAAACAAGAAATGCAAACTTCATGTGGTAGTACAATGGAAACCTGAAAAAACAAAAGAGGCTAGGTTTAAAACCTTATAAAATACAGATGAGTAGCAAAATTGAATCAAAAGGTTGAGTTCTGAACATATAACAAGTAGTTAGGATGATTTTGTAGCAATATCTCATCAAAAAGAATACAAGATGCATAAAGTGGGCATTGATTGAAGTGGATATTTATACATCCAAACATGCCATAATAACCACTTCTTCTAAAGTCATGCAATTGGATAATAAACATCCAAAGGAGTTTTTTATACATAAATGTGTATGCAACAAAACATATATAATTGAAGGGTTGCTACAATATTTATTCTGAAACAAGCACACAACACATTTTAGCAAGGAATCACAATAAAAAGTTAAACATCTGTCTAGATAAAACTTTAGTAAACAGTACTTGTGTTTAAGCCCAACAGTTTTCACATTTGAACTTAAAAAAACATGATAATTAGTCTATCAATGTGGCATCGTACAGACCGTACATGGCCTTTTAGGGCAGGTTTTCTGCCTTGATACCATGGTACTCTTATGTTGGTAGTCAAAAATGTTCAATTGGGGTTTCCCCCATAAATATGAAACCAGATTTCTATCCTTGTTACAAACTAAATAGTTGTAATTTAAAAATCATGTCAAAGTATTTCAAAGAGCAAATAAGCCACCTGTTAGAATGCTCGAGTCAGGGGTATTTTGGTCATTCTGGTGTATCTTATTGAAAGTGAAATGTCTATTGTATCTGAGTTTAAGTTATGTGTCCCATCTTCTATGAGGGACAACATTGTCTTTCTTGTAACTTAAGTTTTATGAATAAAAAGTCAAGTGGGTCGGCTAGGAGAGTGTGACTTTTCACTTTTCTCTCTTCTAGTCTAGCCGAACATTCTTCTCCTTCTTTCTCTTTTCTTTCTTCTTCCTTCTTCTCTGCTTTAGCCTAGAATCAACTAGGGTTTATTCACACCACCAAATAACATAGTGACTCAATACATGATTCCACAAGTAAGGTTCCCAACCATTGCAGTAAGTATACAAGATACTTAAGACTTGAATATGTGGTTTTTTTTAAGATAAATAAAGAAAAAAATTATTAAATGAGAAGAGAGCGAAGAATACAACTGGTAATAAGAAATCACCGGAAATGGAACAAACAAAAAAACACCTACTCATGCAGAAATCAAAATACCCCACTACAAACCCAATCCCCAACAAAACTGGAAATGCCCCACACCACATCCATACAACCAAAAAAGATCACAAACAAACCCCAGGCTTGATCCCCAGCTCACCTTCCAAAAAATAACCTGTGAGCATCCCACTATCTGAGCATCTCACACCCAATCCCCAACAAGACTTGAATATGTGTTTCTCTGAATGCAATTGACCACTCGTGCAATTACCACACAATTACTTGACCATGCAAGAGTCGTGTTATGGATTTTAGACCAGCTGTTTTTGATGATTCTTTCATTTTGGCAAGCTATTTTTTCATTTTTCTAGATTGCATTTGTAACCTAAAGGCTGCAGTGGAACACAACAACTAGAGCAATGGTGCCAAGCCACCCTAGTTGTCACAGAGATGTCCTATAAATCCTTTGACCCTAGCAGTCAAAATATCTTATCCTTGGAAATTATTGAATTATTATTTAATATGAATCATTGAGGCAAGGCAAAGATCGAGGAATGAAATAGTATCATGAAATGGGATAAAGAGCAGAAATCAAGGTAATAATGGGATTGCAAAGGCTTTCGACATGGAATGCAAGAAACTAACAAGAGGAATTAAGGAGGCATTACATGCATAGGGATCACTTGTTGACAGTGGCCCAGGTGTACAGGTGTTCTTAGGCTGTAACAGGTTCTTGTGCCATTTGTCTGGTTGAGGATTTACCTAGGTATGCTTTTTAGGCATAACCCAGCTCATACTGGATGGGTATGCTTCCATCCTAGATGAGAAATTACTCATTGGCAATGAATGTATAGAGTTCAGGTGGAAGAAGGAAAAAAGGTTGGTGTGTAAGTTGGACTTGGAAAAGGCTTATGATATGGTGGATTGTTTTTTTTTACTAGTTCTCAATCGTAGGATGAGTGAAGGGGTGCATTTCTTCATGTCATTTTTCTATTTTGGTGAATGGAGTAGTTAAGGATTTCTTTCTAGCTAAAAGGGGCCAAGGAGACCCTTTGCCACCCTTCCTTTTTTACTTTAGTAGTTGATGTATTGAGTGAATAATTTTAAGGGTAGATGCTAACAATTTGATTAGAGGGTGGAGGGTTGGGATGGAGGAGGTGGTGGTGGTCACACATTTACAGTTTCCAAATGATATCATACTTTTTTGTGAGGGGGAAGTGGAAGAGCTTTTGAACTTAAAAAGATTAATGCACCGTTTTGAGAAGATCTTCTTTATTAAAGTAAATCAGGGAAAGAGTTGTGTGGCAGGACTGAGTTTAGGGAGGGAAGAGGTGGATATTCTAGCTAGAGTGTTGGGGTGTGAGGTAGGGGCATGGCGATTGCAATATATGGGACCACCGTTGGGAGAGAATCCAAATGCAAACAGTTTTTGGTACCCTGTGATTGAAAGATTTACAAAGAGGCTCGCAAATTGGAAGAGAAACTACATCTCCTTGGGGGGTAGGACCGTAGTATAACTTTAATCAAATCTACCATGGCCAATTTTCCAGTTTATTTCCTCCTTACCTTGAAAATACCAGTGAGAGTGGAAAACCAACTAAAGAAGATTATGAGGGATTTCTTGTGGGAATCGGGGGACACCAAGAAGTATCACCTAGTGAAGTGGGAGGTGGTATCTAGGAGTAAAGATGATGGAGGCTTAGGAATAGGGAATATTTAATTAAGGAATACAACTTTGTTGGGGAAATGGTTATGGAGATTACCATTGGAACAGGATGTCAGGATAGGCTCTGGTATAGAGTGACTGTTAGTATACATGGATTGGCAGACAATGGCTAGGATGTGGGTCTCGACCCTAGGGCTTCTCGGTGTTTTCCCTAGAAAGCCTACATGGTATTTTGCCTTCCTTTCTTCCTTTTTTCAAATATGATGCATGTGCTAGAAACAAAGTTCTGTTTTTCAAAGATGCTTGGGTCAATGAATTGTCCTTAAAAGATAGGTTCCCTACTATTTATTCCCTTTCACATAACAAAAGAAAGGTAATATCCTCGGTTTTTATTGATAACTCTTGGGATCTGGGCTTGAGGAGAGGGCTAAGGGAGTTGGAAATGGGGCTGGTTGATGTACTCATTGATCTTTTAGGGATGATCTACTTAAATCAATCTTGCTTAGATAGCTGAAACTAGGAAACCTTCTTATTCTGGTTATTTCACTTGCTATTCTTTCCATAACAAAAGAAAAGTAATACCCTCAGTTTTTACTGATAATTCTTGGGATCTGGGCTTGAGGAGAGGGCTAAGGGAGTTAGAAATGGGGCTGGTTGATGTACTCATTGCTCTTTTAGGGATGGTCTACTTAGATCAATCATATGCTTGGATAGTAGAAATTTGGAAACCTTGTTCTGGTTATTTCACTTGCTCTTCTTTCTATAACGTCCTCCTTCGGTCCTCTAATACTGTAGGGAACTTTCCAACAAAGGAGGTGTAGTGCAGCCCTGTACTGATAAAAATTCGAGCTTTTGCTAGGAGGTGACACTTCAAAAAATCAACACCTTGGATTTGCTACAAATAAAAAGGCCAAATCACTGCCTTTCACCCCATGTTTGTAGTCTCTACTTGGGTTTTGGTGAGACAATCACACACCTAGTAATCCCCTATCCTTTTACGCCGTTTATTTGGTCTTGGTTCTCTTCTCTCTTTGGTTGCAAGTGGAATCCTCCCCGGGAATGTGGCAAGATTCTTTGACCCAAATTTTTTCAGGCAACCAAAGAAGCGTGGAATTATGTAGAAAGCTACAAGAGCATCTGTGCTTTGGGCAGTTTGGGAGGAAAGAAACAACCGAATTTTTAGAAGTGTGTCTAGATCAAAGGAGGAAGTTGTAGAAAGAATAATTATTAGGGTTATTCACTGGTCGAAGACAATTGAGTTGTTTTCAACCTTCTCAGCTGAAGATATATAGAGGAACTAGGGTTTTGTGGCAACTACAACTTCTTTCAAGCCAATTGTACAGGAGCAATGGTCCCCACCAATACAACAAAGGGTGAAGTTGAACATTGATGGTAGCTCTATAGGCAATCTGAGCCCTCCAGGTATAGGGGGTATTCAGAGATGGAAAAGGCAAAATTGCATTGTATTCTGGACCAATAGGAGAGGGAAACTCTTTGAGAGCAGAGGTCATGGCTTTGCTCCAGGGTGTAATATATGCCAAACGGTAGGGGCTACACCAAATTGAAGTAGAAGGGTATTCTAACTTTCTAAGTCGGTAATAGGTTGGAATGCAGTTAGGTTGTTTGGGTGCTTAGGCACATAGACAATTGATAAGAGAAATTCTTAGCTTTAACAAGGGAGATTGGTGCTTGCTTCAAGTGGACAAGAAGAACAACTAATGGATTAGTGGATACATTAGCCAAACAAGGACTATTAGGGATATTTTGGGTAGTATTGTAATTTGAGTTGTTTTTTGGATCAACACCCTACACTTCTTGGGTTTGACAGTTGAACCCTAAAAAGGTCTTGAATGAAGTTACCGTTTCCAATAAAAAATACCAAGCTCATTGAGGTATTTTTCACAGAATAGATAGAGATGGATACTAAGAACTAAGGGTTTGTTCAGTTCTGTGGTTGGAAAAGGTGTGGCTCATCTCAGAAAACACCACACTAGCATGGTAAAGAACCATGGTTCTAGAATACACCATGCGTTCTGTATGCTGTTGCGTGGTGTGTTGTGGGATTAGCCACAATAAATAATATGTTTTACACTGCAGTGAGAAGCCGGGAATCAAAGATAAACACAGAGGAGGGGTGTGGCACATTTGAGAACACGAGAAATTAGCGTGGCTGGACTGGCATGAGATTTTGTGTTCCAGGACCAGCTGCAACTCATTCTGGAACAAGATACACCCCTAAAAGAACGCATTTTGCCATGGCTCATTCCAGAATGGGCTGAAACACATTAAAACCATGTTCTGAACACCTCCTAAAACAAGCACATCTATCACTAACATGCACAAAAGTAGTTACAATTAAAAATTCAAGAGGAAAAACATACAGAAAAAAAAAAGGGTTCAACAGGGTAAAAAGGACAATAAAATATTTTCTGGATGTGCATCTAAAGATATATAAGTTAACATAAACAATGTCATAATAATTATATGTTAAACCAACAAACATTTTAGTACCAAGAAATGAACCAAAAAGCAAGGGGTTAGCCCAAGGCATGAGGAGAGTACCTCAATAAAGTGAGGTGCCACTATTGAAAAATTCAAAAGAAAACACAATATTAAAAAAAAAAATCTATTAGCTCAATTAGTAAAAGCATCTTGTTATTAAACTATAAAACCAACATAGACTAATAAACTGTAAAACCTAAACAAATAACAGAAACAACCTACAGCATGGTAAATTACCTATTGAATATCAAAATCAAGATTACTTAATCAAAACATAGCAACAAGTGAGGTGAGACAAATAACAGCAAGAACAAAACAATATTAATAATAAAGATGGGAATATAGCCGAAGCACCCCCTCTTATGAAACACAGACAACCTACCACAAATTCCCCCTGCACCCGTAGACAAAAAAACAAAGAAACAAAAACAAAGTCATCTCATCACCAGAAGCAGACAAGACTAAATTGAATTTTGATGACTGCTATGTTAGGGTAGAAGGCCAACTGAGATGGTGGGGTATTCTTCATGGATTATTGAAGAAATCATCAAAACTATGGGAGGTTTGCAGACATCCACTAGGGTGTCTTGGCAATATATTCTGAAACCCAACGACTTGGCAATACATTCAGTAGCATGTCTTTCTGGATACAGGAAAACAGAATGCTAGTCATAAAGTAAATAGCTGAAGATATATAGTCACCCAACCAAATGGAATATGAGAAGCAGATAAGTGAAAAGCTTTTTTAGAAGAGCTTGTGGACCATTGCCCTAATATAAAATCCCCATTTAATACTATGAAAAGGTATATTTAAACATACAAATTTCACATTTTGAAAAGTCCAGAAATTTATAGCAAGGCAAAGGGGTGAAGGACTGTACCAGGAAATAATTTTGTCTGCAAAAATTTCTGCAAGGCTGAAAGATCCATATGCTGCAATGTTGGAGATAATAATCAATATTTGCCATCACAAGATGCGGGAAAATATGGTTAAGAAATTAAATAGCACGTGTGCTTGAATATTCAATCAGACAAAACTGATAATGCTGTAAACATATAATATTTAGATCAATAATGTCTAGCACATTGGTGTCAAACATGAAACTAACCAAATATGAGTAATACTAATACTGCATGGACACTTTTAGATGTACTCTATACATTAATACTTCTAAAATAACCAAAATGGAATGTTTTGACAGATTTTTTTTGAAGAAGGATAACAAGATGTTATATTAAAAGTAAAAAGAGGAGTACAAAAGCCCTTTATAGACCGGGGCAGAGAAGCGTTGCTATACAAATGATCTCTCGAAGATCCAGATTTAGCCAAAGAATCAGCAACTGAATTGAGCTCCCTAGGGATCCAATGAGGAACGGCTGACATAGCAGAAGCCAGGTCTCTAGCTTTGCTAAGGAAGTAATGTTTTGACAGATTATACTATAAAAGAATATGTTCATGTTAGAAGTTTAATTAAATTTGGCAAGACATAAGTTCTGCCATATCTCTGCTTCTTATATCTATGTCTATGCTCATGTTTGTATTGGACTTTTTACAAAAAAAAAAAATAATAATAGTTTAATGAATTTGCAAAATCAGATATGTTTTGAAACATATGACGAAAACAGTGGACAGGACAACAAATAAGGGAACCAGCTAAAACGATTAAAAGGGTTAGAGACACTGGGTGATCCACTTCAGCTCCTCCAAGGGACTCCATCAAATGATGCAGCTACATGTCATGATTTTGTGCTTTCTGTAGATCAGAACAAAGCTCTTAACAATTGGGAAGCGGCTTTGACTGGGAATACCAGAGGCTCTATTAATCTGGCCAGCACTCACACTGTCACACACAGGCTTACATAGACGTCTTTGCAGGTTGGAATGTGACAAGTAGCTTCTTTTTCCCCATCAAGTGTTCCAATATTGGACAAGGACCATCCACCTCTACTAGCTTGTTGCTTGCGAACCAAGACTTCCATGAGGAAGACAATGTATGGTAACTTAAAGAATAGACAATTCATCTATTCTAAGAAGGGTCGATTTGCTCAAAAATTTGCTTTATGCCGCTCACTGTTTTCACAATATGTTTTAAATTGTATCCGGTTTTGTAAATTCATCGAACTTTATTATTTTTTTTTTGTAAAAAGCCCATTTGTATTTGGGCATCATAGTCACCAATCAAGAGAGGCCGTCCAGGGGGGAAGGAGGGAGGGAAGATGGAGTCCCCCCTTGAAAATAGAGATAGGCTCAGTCTCAGGGTTTCATTTATTTGGAAAAGGTACCTTTTCTTTTGTTTTTTGAGAAAAGCTAACTATTATATTCAAAAAAAATAGAAAGAAATACAAAGAGGATATACAAGAAAAGGAGGGCCTTCATACAAAAAATCCAGAAGCCCATTCAAGACATATTTAAGCTATTAGCACTATATAAAAAATCTCTCCAGACCTGATTTAGATAAGAAATTCACCATTTGATTCAGATCACTCAAAATCCATCTTTAACAGCAACCAAGGGAAACAGAAAGATCACCAATTTCATGCAGGAATTAAGCCAGCTTCCAGGGACCTGTCCCAAAATTGATTGCCCAGCCAATCACAATCCTTGAATCCCCCTCCACAAGCAAGGAACTAGAGAGAAGGTCTTTGGCAAATCGGACCCTCAAGAAGTGCTCGAACTTCAGTTTTAGATGAATCCTTGCTGTGGCAGGACCACTAAAAGCCCAAATCAGATTGCCATCAGCTCATCAGCTCCCCCCTCCCAAAAAAAAAAGAAAAGAAAAATCCAGCCTTAACCTCACCAGTATTTCTCAAACTGCAAGATGAAAGCAGTAGAGGGTCTTGGGGCTAAGTAGAGAGTGGGTTGAAGAGTCAAAGGGGAAGACGTTAGGATTTCTGTAAGATTTCTATTAAGATAAACATAGCTGATTCCATGAAAACTCTTATCTGTCAACATCCACTAGTTAACCAAAGAAAGGATATGCCTTCTAAGGTCTAACAAGGAACTGCTTTAATTTTCAAAAATTCCTCTATTGTATTCTTCCAAAATGTCCCACATCATTGCATGAATTATTGATTTCCAGTAGATCCTTCCCCTTTTCCCATTTTACTTCCTTTCCTCTAGTGGATGAAATCATAAATGGTGTTTGGAGGATGCTAAGAGGGGCCTCAGGAAAGGAGGCTCTCTTTCCCCTTTCCTTTTCACCTTAGTAGTTGACCTGTTGAGTGAACTCATTTCCAAAGCTGATGTGGACAACTAGATTAAAGGCTGGAGAGTTGGGAGGAAGGAAGTGGTGGTTACACATTTTCAATTTGCAAATGGCCTCACCTTGTTTTGTCATGGAGAAAGGGAAGAACTAGTGAACTTGAAGAGATTGGTGACACTTTTTGAGAGAATTTCTAGCCTCAAAGTAAACCCAGGCAAGAGTTGTGAGACCGGGTTAAAAAGGAGAGAGAAGTAGAAAACCTTGCTAGTCTCTTAGGTTGTGAGGTAGGGGAGTGACTGTTATAATATTTAGGTCTACATTTGGGAGGGAATCCAAATTTTGAGAGCTTTCAGTACCCATCAGAAAGATTTTCCAAGAGCTTGCTGGTTGGAAGAGAAAATACATTTCTTTGGGTGGGAGAATTACTTTAATTAAGACAACACTAGCCAACTTGCTGGTGTTACTTCCTTCAACCTTCAAAGTTCTAGTTAAAGTGGCCAACCAATTGAAAAAGATTATGAGGGACTCTCTTTGGGAATCGGGAGATACAAAGAAAGATCATTTGGTAAAGTGGGAGGTAGCTTCAAGGAGTAGGGATAATGGGGGACTAGATATAGGCAAAATCAAACTTAGGAATTTAGCTTTGCTAGGGAAATGGATGTGGAGGTTGCTTTTGGAGAAGTACAGACTATGGCACAAAGTAATTGTGAACATCCATGGATTGGCAGATAATGGGTGGGGTGTTAGTCTTGACCCTAGGGAATTTGAAATGGGGATGGTAGATGAACTTATTTCTCTTATAGGTTCGGTGTTTCTAGATCAATCTTGCTTAGACAATAGGATTTGGCCGCCTTCTCTTTCTGGTTACTTCACTTGTTCTTCTGTTATGGACACACCGCCCGGCAGCGCGCAGCACGCACCGCACGGCAGCAGCACGCACCACATGGCAGCAGCACGCACCGCACGGCAGCAGCACGCTCCTCACGGCAGCAGCACTGCGAGACGCGTGCACCGCCCGGCAGCAGCAGTAGGGCGGGGCCCACATGACAGCTCATCAGGGTGGGCCCACACTTATCTTACCACATCATCTCTGCCCGTCAGCGCGCAGCACGCATCGCCCGGCAGCGCGCAGCACGCACCGCACGGCAGCAGCACGCTCCTCACGGCAGCAGCACTACGAGACGCGCGCACCACCCGACAGCAGCAGTAGGGCGGGGCCCACATGACAGCTCATCAAGGTAGGCCCACACTTGTCTTACCACATCAGCTCTGCCCGCCAACTCGCCGCCAGCTACACCATTCCTTATCCCTTATCCCTTATCTTATCTTATCCTTATCTTATCTTAAGAGTGTGTTACTATTAGGAGTAGGTAATTAGGAGTTTGAGTTTGAGTTGGATTACCCTTGCCTAGCCGAATCCAACAAGGAATT